TATTGCTTGAAAAGAACGCAATTATGAGATTCGCTCGGGGGATAGGCCAAAGAAGTTCCCTCCTCGTTCGTTCGAAGGAAAAGGCAAAAAATAAGATGCATAGGCTCTTGTAAAATACGGCGGAAGCGAGACGAATCGAAGAAGCGAACGCATCAAGTATAGTATAGTATGTGTATGTGGGATTAGAGTTAGAAAAAAAAAACATACACACATACGTAAATGTATACATACACGCGTGCGCACATACATGCATATATGGACGCGTATCGGATGGGTCTAAGTTTTGCTTCTTTAGGATTTCCTATTCTGAGAAAGTTCACGAAAAGTACGTATTTCCTGAGTTTCGTGTTTCAGAGAAATAAGATTTTTGTATCATAGATTTTTTACTCCGGTAAAAAGGAAGTTTCATCATACTTTTCGATTATATAAAATGACGATAGATTATTTTCGGGATTACGATCGTTAATAATAATAATAATAATAATAATAATAATAATAATAATAATAATAATAGTATAAGCCTAGTTAGGATTTAATCGGTAAGAGACGATCTTTGGTTGTAATCTTTGCATAGTCAGTCGATAAGAAGAAAAGTCGATCCGGTTTTCTCAGTTTTACGTTGAGAAGCTGCTGCCGCTATGTCGGTGCACTCGCGCGGACGGAGGTGACTTTAAACGCGGGGCAATAAATTAACGGCGTTGGGTTACGCAAGGATCAAATGTCCCCTGGAGTATGCCCGAAAGATTTATGGGTCTGCCTTCACTGGCGCAGCATGAAGGAACGGAACAGAACAGAACATACACAACCGTACGGCTTATTATAGGCTAGTTGCTCCGCTTCTCCTCCGCTTCGCTCTTCACCCACCATCAGTTTACCCCTCCATTTCAACCTCCACCCTTTTCTCCCTCTCCTTCCCCCCTCCCCCTCACTTCCTATATCCTCCTCAGACTCCCTCCTGACTGGTCTTTCAGTCCCGCCGCAGGATACACGCAGGACTTTTCAGATTAACAGCTAGCCGGATGTTGTAATCCGCTAATAAGGCGTACCCACTGGCCACTGCCCAATTAAGCTAAACTTTACGCGGTCACCTTAAGGTCAGATATCTCGAGGAACGTTCTTCGACCGAAGAATCCCCGTCGGCTTTCTTTACTTGAACACGCGAATTATTATACTCCTTTACGATGAACAATAAGAACAAAATGAAATGCGCTAGGTAAAATATTCTTACGGATTAGTTAATTATCAACAAATAAAGATATTAATTAATCGTTAGAAATTCAATGATAGACATATAAAGATTTCTCTTAGAAATATCATGAAAATCGATGAATAACTGCGATACGTCCAGGTTGATCTCTTCGTTAACCGTCGAACATGTCGAACGCAATGAAGATCGTGCTCGAGTTAATCGAGCACCTGTTGGCGCTAACGATACCGCGTTACATTAATCATTGCCGTATAGATAAGAGCGAATTCGCAGGGATTTCCGTGACTATTAACTTATCCTCGCTACGGCCTTGTCTCTCCTCGTGGCTCCGGTGATCGATCGTTCCACCAAAAGATTTACTACGATCGCTAAAAGGTTTTTGCTCGGCGACCGCTTGATCGACTGCTTTCGTTGTGTCTCGTACGATCTAAGAGCACTAAGGTCGGTAATTAGATCGAGACTTTATGTAAAAGACACTAACCTATACTGGCTTTAAACGTGACTTTGACATATGTATTTAGTTGCTTTTAACCCCTCCGATCCACACATTTAAACTCCGAGTTCGAACTTTGCAAAATACTTGATCATTCGAAATGGCGAAGCCAATGATTCGAATTGATTTTACTATTTGCTTGTCTATAACGTACAACTAAACGACCGATCGGGAATCGATGATTAAATTTATGTGAATACAGGTGACTACACGATGAACTTCTTCACGTACAAGATACATTTACGAATACAAGATATAACGAGATTAGATAATAGTAATTATCTCATTTGAAATATCAATTATTATAGAAATATATCTATTTCGTTTTTAACGTAACATTCAAAGAAATTGATTGCAATACGTTTATTACCGCGTAATTGCTTTTTAATGCCATTTCATTAATGGAAATGAATATTTTCGTTGTTCTTATTTTAATGAAACGTAGAAAAGATATTTTTGACAAATGTCTTTTCATTTCTTCATAATTAATCGTAAACGATATGATAAGTAAAGTACTCATTGATATTCGAATGGTACTATGTATGTAAGTGTGTGGAGAATCGCGTTCGCAGAGTTGCTATGACACCGTTCGCATACGACCGCGTACCACGTGTATGTGTAATCTCATACAAGCGTGGACAAGTACGGAACGTTGCTTGCCTCTTTAATTAATCCCACATGCCTCGACACCCAAGATCAGGCTTATAATAACGTTACTTGTTACCAAAGTTTAACTGTCGTCAATTTTGGAAGATCCAAAAATTTATTTTCTCTCTCTTTTCTCTTTTTTTTTTTCTTTTCCTTTCATATGTAACCATTAATAATACGATCGAATAATATTTCTAATATTTATAATCGATTTGAATAATATTTAATGTCAATTATTAATGTCAGATTAATAGCCTACGATACAAATTTTTATTTCTTTCTTTTTTTTGTTGTTTTATTTTATATGTATATATATATATATATATATATATATATATATATAAATCATGTAATAGAATATATTTAGATACAAATATGCAGTTCGTTCCAGGAAACCATTGGCAATGCGTTTAAATTCTCCGATTTGAACGGACATTATAATTAACTTCGTTAACTTGGCGTCGTATGATATCGCGCGTGAAACGTATCTCGTATAAAGGACCGATGATAACTGTGCTCTTTGATAATAAGATTGTCTTTAACAAATTAGTCCTATTTCGATGAATTCTCCATAGAGAGATAGATAGTCTTTCAGCGAAAGGAATTTGGAATCATCATGGTTAGTCGATATTCGTAGTTACAAAAGTTTCTTAGAGTTCTATATTATAGAATGAGTTCGTTAACATATTTAATTATAATCGACGCAAATAAAAATTTAAATGGATCGTTTATTTCACGTCAAGATATTATCATTCTTTAATGAAAAACAAAAGAATATATTTGAGTTGAGACAAAAATATACTCGCGTATCGATTATTTAATATACAAATTATGAAGAGAGAGAGAGAGAGAGAGAGAGAGAGAGAGAGAGAAAACAAAAATAAAAAGTGTATGAGAGACAAAAAGTGTATGACGATTAAGAAAAAAAAAAAAAAAAAAAAAAGGCAGAAAAAAAATATCGTAAAAGAAATTGAGATTTGTGAAAAAGATTGAAAGAGGATTTAGCTTAGAAAGAAGAATGCTAGAGAGTTTGCTGTCCGAATTGTTAGACCATATAAGAAAGTGCTAGAGATTGGTATGCTGTTAATTTGAGAGCGTAGCCCGAGGGAGGGAATAAGGGGCATGTTCTCAGAGTTCCCCCTCCCACTCTTTTTCTCTTTCTATCTCTCTCTTTCTAACTCGGGTTCTTCTCTCCTCTTTTCGTCTTCCATCTCCTCTTAGCCAAACGATTCAGAATACTCGTAGAGTTGTCCGTCTCTCTCTTCTGGTGGAGAACCGCCATCCGTCTTCATCGGCCGACAGCGCGACGGGCGGCGTTTGCCTCGAATGCTCGCCAAGGAGTTTTCTTCTTCCTCTTCTTTTTCCTTCCCTTCCCCTTCTTCTCTCTATCTTTCTCTCGCTTTCTCTCTCTCTCCCTCTCTCTCTCTCTCTCTCTTTCTCATCTTCTTTTTTTTAGCTTCCCATCTCCCTCTTTCTCTTTCTCTCTCTCTTTCTTCTTTTTTTGGCTTCCCATCTCACTCTTTCTCTCTTTCTCTCTTTCTCTCTCTCTCTTCCTTCCTCCCTCCCTCTCTCTCTCTCTCTCTCTCTCTTTCTATCCTTCTCTTTCTACCTCATCCCAGCCATGAAATATTCTCGTTTTGCCCTCTCGCGCTCGTGTGGTGGACCAATCTAACTCTTTGAGATGATACCTCGACGAGGTTGAGCCTCTCTCACGGACTTTGCGTTGCAGAGCCAACTCTTTGCTTCTTTTTCTTCTTCCTCTTCTTTCTCTTCTTTTTCTTCTACTTTTTTCTTTTTTTCATCCTTGTACCATCACCTCTCCCCTCTGTCTCTATCTCTCTCTCTCTCTCTCTTTCTCTCTCTCTCTCTTTCTCTCTCTCTCTCTCTCTTTCTCTCTCTCTCTCTCTCTCTTTTTCCCTTTCTTTCCTTTTTGCTCCCTTTCTCTTCGCGACTACAATTAATATTCTCCTTCAAGTTTCGTGTACAGCCGCACCGTACGGGCACAGATCACGTCGCGGATATCGCTAAGTTATCTATCATTCGTAGATTCGTAAACCCCTCACCATTCCTCTCCTCGCTCGCCCAAAACCCTTGGATATTTTCGTTTCCTCGGACTTTCGTAAAAATTCCATCGCGATTTAAACTCGTCGTAGATTTTCTTTTATTCCAAGGACACTTGAGACGATTCATTTTTATTCTTTCTATCAGGATTTATCATTTCATTCTTTCATACATTCTTCAAATATTATTCCACCATTGGTAAAATGCTTTTGAAGAGTTATCACATATATTTATATTATTTTACGATACTTCGATTTTACGATTTTCAAAATATAGAAAATTAATCTTATTGAGATAAGTGAAATAACAATATATATATATATATATATATATATATATATATATATATATATATATATATATCTGTTGTATACGTTAAGAAAAGCCATTATTGAAGTTTCGATGACTATAATAAAAATTCTCGTGTATGCATATTTGAATGAATAAATGAATGAATGAATGAATGAATGAATGAATTAAGTCCATACGTAATTTATTTTGTTTTTCGCATTGATCCTAATCCCCAGACTCTTTAACATTCGATTGTATCAAAATTTAACGTTTAAAATTTTACAATTGGTTTGTTCGCAGAGAGAAAGAGAGGCCGACAAACGTACACCCGTTATCAAACGCTGGAACTGGAAAAGGAGTTTCATTTCAACAGATATCTCACGAGGCGGCGACGTATCGAGATAGCGCACGCCCTTTGTCTTACGGAGAGACAGATAAAAATCTGGTTTCAGAACAGGCGGATGAAATGGAAGAAGGAGAACAAGTCTAAGGGTGATCCAGGCTCGGGCGATGGCGACACTGAAATTTCTCCGCAAACGTCGCCGCAGGGTTGAAAGAACCCCCCGGAGGAGTGGAACTTCCAAAGAGGTCTCATCTCTCTCAGGGTCGTTAATACCTTATTTCCAGCACTACCTCCTTCCCCAAACCCCCATTTAATGACCTCCCCCATCCCCAGGACGAACCCCGACTCCCTCGACCACCCTCCCCCCCCTATCTCCCCCGCTCCCGTCTAATCATACCCCAACCAGCAATGACGCTTCTTTTGTCGTGTTAATCAAGTTACTCGTACCAAAAAAAGAAAGATGTAATAGGAATAGAAGCGAAGAAGACGCGATGAAGAACGTTCTTGTAGTATAGAGAAGAGGAAGAAGAAGAAGAAGAAGAATGAACGATGACAAAGGAATGGTAGAGAGAAAGAGATAAATAGATAGAGAAAGAGAGAGTGAGAGAGAAAGGAGGTGTATGATGGTGCGGACAAGGACGACAAGATTGAAGGAAGGGAACGTAGAACGAGAGAAGGAGAAAGAGAATGAAAGAAAGCTAGAAGAGGGTTAGAGATAAAAGACAAAAAGAGAGTCGGAAGAGAATTTATGGGAATGAATGATGTTACGGATATAACGGAATGAAGAGGCAAAATAAAAGGAACTGGATCACATGCTAATCAGAACCGCGTTAACCTCTATTACGTTTAAACGAACATAATTGTACTAAAGTCTATATAAATATACGTCGTCGAAGGAAATGTACGTATTTAAAATACATTGATTGCCACTCGATTGTCGTACGTCTTATTTTGAGGGTGGGAAGGTGGGACTATGGTATAAAAATATTCATTATTATAAGCATATAATAATAAATTATTATATTTTGTGATTAAATGAGACTATACCATTATTAATAATTTTATTTCGTCGATGATCACTCGTATTCATCGTGATCGTACAGTAATGTTTGAAAATTGCAAAATAAAAAAAATAAAAAAAAAAGAAAAAAAAAAAAGGAACTTCGCACGAATAATGTAATTATTAATTGTTTCATAGGACACAATATTTATTTTACATTGTTATCTAGTTGTCGAAAATTTTTTAATCGGTGTCATAGATTGACTTTATAGTTATTAATTTGTAAATTTTTTCCCATTGAATATAATGATACCATTTGAAGGACAAAATCAATAGTGGCAATCAACGTGTTAAAGGGAATTTGTGAGAATATCGATGGAAGTGTATGAGAAAGTATGGAATATTAAGGAAGATGTGTGTATTTGCCTGTGTGATAGATAATACGTGTATGTTGATATCGAGTGAGGAAGAAAACAAAAAAAAAAAATGGAAAGATAAAACCGCGTAATAAGTTAGGAAAATGTTTTTATTATTTATTCTCTTACGTCGTATATACGTATAGTCGTAGAGAGCGGTTAGTAGAATATAAGAGAGAATGAAAGAAAGAGAGAAAGAATGAAAATGAGAGAAAGAGAGAGAGAGAGAGAAAGAGAGAGAAAGAGAGAAAGAATGAGAGAGAGAGAGAGAGAGAGAGAGAGAAAGAAAGAGAGAGAGAAAGAGAGAGAGAAAGTTATGGTTGTCCATCTGTAATACTATGTAGCGGTGGATGTACGAGCACAGTTTAGTGTCCTTTAGAGATTCGTTTAGATAGTTTTTTCGCTACACTACCGCGCGCGCGCGCGCGCGTGCACGGCCAGTGACTTGGCGAAGGCATCTCGAATTTTCTGCGAACGTGCCAACGTGTGTGATCTTTTGAACGTATTTTTCGCATTATCGAAATCGGAATTCACGTAGGCAAGGAAGAAGGAAAAAGAGAAAAAAAAAGCAAAAAAAAAAAAAAAAAAAAAAAGAAACAAAAACTGACGGAATGAGAGATAAAAGAAAAATTGGAAGAACGAATCGAGATAATGAGGAAAAATTTGTAATACTTATATATACGAAACAGTGAAAATAAAAATAAAGTGCGCGTACGGGGTGTCCCGTTTGTTCGTAAAACGAGACGCGAATTTAGTGAAATACGGTGATAAAACGAGAATGAAAAGGAAAATGAGAAAGAGAAAGAAAACGAAAACGAATCGGATAATGTGGAAAAAAAAAGAAAAAAGAAAAAAAATAAAAGGACAGAAAAAAAGATAGAAGATGGAAGATGGAGGCAGGCGTATCGAATGGAGCGAAGTCGAAAATGTTTTCTTTTTTTTCTTTTTTTTTTCTTTTTTTTATTTTTGTCCGATATATATATATATATATATATATATATATATATATATTTCTTTTTTTTCTCTCTCTTTATTATTGACAAGAAGAAAATGAGTGAGATATCGGCGAAGGGAAAGAAAAGAAAAAGAAAAGAAAAAAGAGCAAAGAAAAGAAAGAAATGTTATAATTTAGGGAAGAAACGGCGGAGGTCCTCCGGCAGAGCAGAGACCAGCCAACTTGGCGTTTATTCATCGATATCGTCGCAAGGTCAGTCACATATATGAAAGTTAAATTAGAAATTATTTCGTTCGATCGAATTTACGTTTCTTTTCCAATGATATCATTAAGATCATTCGTAGAAACGTTAGACCGATTAAAAAATCGTTAAAGGATTCTTGTAACGCCTTGCATTTAAATCTAATGTGCCAATAGCATTTGAAATTGTGCAAATTACAATTCGACGGATATAATACATTTTTTTTTTTTTTTCTTTTTACTTTGATAATACTCTTTTCTTCTCTGTATTCGGGTGAAGTACTTTCTAGTATCATGGCTACCGGTTTTAATCGAAGGAAGATGTTCAGCGTATTTTTCAAAGAGAAACGCGTTGCAAAGCGAGTTTACGCGATCGTAAAACCGGTTCTTCCGATTAATCGAGTATCGTCGATAAAGAGAAAGAGATAGATAGATAGAGATAACGAGAGAAAGGAAGAGAGAAAGAGAGAGAGTGAGTGAGTGAGTGAGTGAGTGAGTGAGTGAGTGAGAGAGAGAGAGAGAGAGAGAGAGAGAGAGAGAGAAAGGGAGAGAAAGAGTGCAAGAGTGAGAGTACACAGCATCCATTATCTTGATTTACATGCATCTTCCTTCGACGGTGAAAACGCGCTTTAATGATCTCGATCGACCTCTTCCGGAATTACGTTGGAAATAATTCGCATTCGCGGCACGACGACCTTTCGTTTCTGTAAATAATTTTCCATGTGGAATAACGGGGTGGAGTATAAAGGGGGATATAAAGAAATGGAGGTGGGGATTATCGGGGGTGGACGAGGAAGAAGGTATATTATTCTCGCGCACGATCGTCGATCCTTTAAAAAATCGACTCCTGCTCCGCGCGACGTGAGGCCAAGTTACCAAGTGATGTAATACATAGTGTATTTTTGGAATAGGATGTTTTCGGCATGAAACCGCTTGGCAACTTAATGGCGTCTCGAAAGTGGGTTTACTGGCACGGGATCCTCTCGTCGCGAGCCAAATTCTCTTTCGCAGAGTAACGGCGCGTAATTTTGAAAGGAAAAATGAAAATGATACAAAAAAAATAAAAAAAAAAAATTAAAAAAAAAAAACACAAGAAAGAAACCAAAAAAAGGAAAAAACAAAACTAAGGTAAAATAAAGTAACAAAATAAAAAAGAAAAAAAAAAAAAAAAAAAGAGAAAGACACTTGTTCGATCACCGTCCATGCTTGCGACGAAAGTGGCATCACCATTTTAACCAAAAGAAGAAAAGAAAACTAAAAAAAAAAAAAAAAAAAAAAAAAAGAAAAGAAAAAGAAAAAAAAGATTCGCAGTGCGGTATATCGCTTTGTCAAATTTTGAAAATGGAAGAAAAGAACAAAAGAAAAAAAAAGAAAAGAAAAGAAAAGAAAAGAAAAGAAAAGAAAAAAAAAGAAGAGAGAACATAAAAATTGTATCGCTTTTTCCTCGATCGCATTGCATTTTGTCTTTATATTTCTTACAGAAAATTTCTAATCTAACGAATATCGTTCGCGTTTGAAGCGTTGGGACGCGTTAAATGTGTCAAGCGGTGAACCGGATAGCCTGTCGGCTCGAACACCGAGCGTGATAAGAACGAAAGTTCCTCCGATTGGCCGAAAAATGTCGCTAACGAAGAATTCAAAGAAATTCTATACTCGGTGTTTTTATCCTAACGAGCCAAGGTACTCCGCCGCGGCGAAATCTGTGCTGTGTTGTAAACTTAGCTCGACATACGTTTAGTTTATACGTACTCACACATACACATATATACATACACATATACACACACACACACACAGAGACACACATACACACAAACACACTTCATTAACGATATACGTAATGAACGATATTAATGAACACTTAATGATAATTATAATGATAAAAGTAATAAGGATAATGATAACGGTAAAGATAAACGGACGGCGCTGCTGATGGAAGTATTAATGCAAAAATGAAGCAAATGAAGAAAGAAAAGACAAAGGGAAAATATAAATGTCGCGATCTCGAATGTCTCTATGTAGAATGATGTTATATGAGAATGAATGAAATAAAGAAAAAAGAAATAAATGGGGAAAGGTACATACTTATTACGAAAGAAGTCGTACGCGTTTCGTATGTACATACTCATAGAAATCGTCTCCCCCTAATTCGTGTTTAAAAAGATAAACGAGGGTTGAAAAACGTGCTTACCGATATACGTAATTAATGGTCGTTCATTCAACGGCCGGCCTTCCTCAATCGAAAGATTTATTTATGGAAAATCTTTTTGTCCTTTGAAAGCAACGAACTCACTATAAAAAGATTTCCGGCGATCGTTCTTTCACAATTTTCGCGTAACTTTATATTTCATTGACGATTTAACGAAACCAACAAAGTATTTAGGTTCTCGTTATTATAGACGATAATATTAAAACTATTACGATAATGATAATAGTATATTTTTTTTTTTTGGTTTAATTATAAAGAGAAATGCCGTGGGATATCGTTAAATGGATTTATCGAAAGACGATCGATTCGTGTATCGTTCATTTGACCGTGACATTCATTGATATAAATTGATCGTCGATACGAAATGATCAACAACGAGATCGTACGTTCTCTCGTAGAAATTTAATCGTCGATACGATGCTCGTGTACTTAACTAAGTAATACACGTGAATGGCATTCGAAAGTAGCATAATCATAATTGGCTTGAAATAACGTCGCCATGGAGAAAATGAATGTAGTATCTTGTTCGCATTGACCGTAAAACCATTCATCACATTTCTTCTTCTTCTTCTTCTTCTTTTTCTTCTTCTTCTTCTTCTTCCCTCCACCTACAGTTTATAAAGTATATGAAAGAAAAAAGAAAAAAAAAAAAAGAAAAAAAAAAAGAAAAGAAAAAACAAAAATCTATAAAGATATTTTCCACTCATAGATTATGGCCGTGCGTTTTGTTATCTCAACTCGTTATCGGTTAACTCTTAGTGCATTGAGACTAGTAGTCTGACTCGCACTTTCGATAACGCGATTTATAAACGCGTGCAATAAATCGATTAACCTTAGCAGTTCGAAGCAACGATCCTTTCGAGCATTTCGTCGATCGCTCGCGACACGCGAGTTAATTCCAGATACATTAATCAGCGATACGATCTATATGGGTCAGATAATAGTTGGCATTGAGGTGCCGAGGGTGCGGCTTTGCGAGACAAAGCTGCTATTTATTACCCTTACGCCACGATAACGGACGTGTTACGACATGGTACAAACGAAGTCCCGATCAAAATTTTCCGTTTTTCCTTCTCTCGTTCCTTAATCTTTTGAGATAATCGAAAGATTTCGAATCGATCGAGGGACTATGGATATTTCGACTTCGAAATCAATTCCCTTAGCAATATCCCAAGTATTTCTCTTTCGTAAAAGTGATTCGTAAGTGCAATAAACGAACGTATTTTATTCTTTTTATTTTCTTTTTTTCTCTCTCTTTTTCTTTTTTTTTTTCCTTTTTTTTTTCTTTTTCTGTCTCTTTTTCTTCTAATCGATCGTAAACGAGGAAAAAAAAAAATCGTCGCGAACGATCGCCGTGAACATCGACTTTACATAACAACAAATGAAATTTTGTATTCGACGAATGGCCGAGTTCCATTTAAACGTAGAAAGGTATATAATGTTATGTGACCACGGAGTAAAGAGAAAATGAAGGATATATAAATAATGAAAAATTGAGAAAAAGAGTGAATGAATGAGAGAGAGAGAGAGAGAGAGAGAGAGAGAGAGAGAGAATTCGTAGAATTAACTGGAAGGTATAAATTCAAATTATATATTTTATCTCTACTCGTATGCATATAGTCGCGTAATGAAATAGAAAAAAGAAAAGGTAAATTTTATATATATATATATATATATATATATATATATATACATATAATAATTTAAAGTATATGTGTGTAAAAGAGTTTTAAGAGTAGAGGGAGATGAGGCAAGAGTTGGAAAAAAGTAAAAAAACAATGTGTACGTACGAAGTGTGTCGCTACGTTAGCCCATAATCTCGATTAAGATTAAGGACTAAAATCTACTTCCTAAGGTGGTAATTAAATAGATTATTAAGAAAAACGGGCATGTCGGTTGCGGCGGGCGGGGAAAACGATTAATGACGAAAATCAGATCGATTCTAGAGAATGAAAGAAATAGAGAGGAAGAGAGAGAGAAAGAGAGAGAGAGAGAGAGAGAGAGAGAGAGAGAGAGAATGAAAGAATGAAAGAATGAAAGAATGAAAGAAAGAGAGAGCAAATGATGGAATGAATAAAATGGGCAAATGATTGCGATTGAAATTCCGCTATTGTGAATATGGAGATATATAACAAGAAATAATACGTACTACATAGTTCATGGAGTTTGCGGTAATGTAAATACGTAATCTTAATGTTTCTACCGGAGAGCCCGTAAACGTCATGACGCATAAAGCGGCGTTTCGAATGAGAGGAAGAGAGAGAGAGAGAGAGAGAGAAAGAGAGAGAGAAAGAGAGAGAAAGATAGAGTGAGAGAAATGGAGAGAGAGAGAGAGAGAGAGAGAGAGAGAGATAGAGATAGAGATAGACACATACAACCAGCAGCTTTCGACCGATTATATCGTTTAGCAACGTAGTATTTATTGATATACCATGTTATATGTCGCAAAATGGATTCTTTATTTGTTTTAACTGATTGTCTAATAAATATTTTTTACAATGTAAACAGGTAGTTTTTAGGTGTATTTGTGCGTACCAAGTCAAATGATATCCCAGAAAAAAGAAAATATGTTTTCTTAAAACGAGAAATTTCATGTGCTTAATCGAAGTTATTCATTCTACTTTATATTAAATACTTTCGATTATTTTAGCGTCATTGAATTATTATCGATTCTCAAAAGAAATCTCAACTGATTCCATTCGATATTGTTAAATTTTTTTTCTTATCTATTTTATTTTTCTTTTCTTTTTTTTTTGTTTTCTTCTTCTTTTTCTTCTTCTTCTTTTTCTTCTTCCTCTTCTTCTCTCTCTTTGCATTATTGTCAATCTTTAATATTTCGAAGTGTCGAAAGTAGCGTTGAAAGAATTTTTATTCATGAAAATTAGATTGCGATTAGAGATTTGAATCGAGTTAGAGTAATCGATATCTTGAAGTCGTGACCTCGCACGCGAATGCACCGAAGAGTTCCTGACCCCCCTGTGCTCTCCTGGCAGGTGTCGTTAGTTTCGTATAATAAATTTATAAGTATATTGTACATCTATCGAGATCATCTATCTTTAAAAATATGTTTAGCAGAGAAAAAGGAAAAAGAAAAGAAAAGAAAAGAAAAGAAAAGAAAAGAAAAGAAAAGAAAAAAGAAAAAAAAAGAGGAAAAGATTCCTTCGGCTCCGAACTTCGCTCTCGATATAAATAAACTCGATCGTTAAATTTCGCTCTGATAAGTAAATTAAATACCTTTTGCAAACTGAAACGCCATTGACGTTTCTTTTTCTTTACTTTTTTTTTTTTCTTTTTTTCTTTTTTTTTTCCTTTCTTTCCTCTTTCTTTAATTTATTAACAAATAAAAAAAAAAAAGAAAAAAAAAAAAGAGATCGAACGAACGAAAAAATGTCCGATGGGATATCGATCGATCAGAAAAGTTATGCATCTAAGTACGTACGTAAGAACGATTGAATTTCGATGTTTTATCATTTCTATCAGTTACTTACGACGATAAATCGCAAGGTAGCTCGCGAAAGCTTAACTTGTTGTATCGTACTAAATCAACTAATTTAATACTCAACGCTCGTCGATGTATATCGTGTGTAAATACAGAAGTAATTAAGATGCATCGGATAACGGTATCATCGCGTCAGTCTGGACATTGCGCGCGAGTTAAATCGATTTCTCCGACGAATACGAATAGACGAATTATACGAGATGTCATTTCAATTCGAAGAAAGGAAAAACGAAGAAAAAAAGAAAAAAAAGCAAAAAAAAAAAAAAGAAAAAAGAAATTGAGGAAAAGGCAAATAGACAAAAAATGAGAAAAGAAAGAAAAATTACGTGTAGTGCACGCGAGGTATCCCTCTTTAAGCTCAACGTCTCCTCCTCCCCCTCCCCTTCCACCCCCACCCTCACTCCTGCCCTCCTTCCATCCATTCATCCTTCCTATTCCACATCGGCAGAGCACAGCGCACGAAGACTGATAGATCCGATTAAATGCCACATACATACAATATAACGAGAAACATTGTATACATTAGAAATGGAATAAGTTTGATATAACGACCGAAATCAATATATAAATGTTCGATTACGTGTACGAATATAAAATAAAAGAAAAAGAAAAAATATTCGTCGACTTACGAAAATCTTCGAAAGTCGTCGATCGACGAATGAATTTCATGAATCGTTTAGATGAAAATTTAAAAAGAAATCGGAAATAGAAAATAGAGAAGAAGGAAAAAAAAAAAAAAAAAAAGATAAAGAGAAAGGAAAAAAGAAAAATTACAGAAAAAATTGTTTCTCTTGTGCTCTGTCGCGCTTCTTTAATCGGTTGTAGAGCAATAAAAGAAAGGGAAAAAAAAAGAAAAAGAAAAAAGACAAAAAAAAAAAAAAAAAAAAGAAAAGGCGCGAACGATCATCCCACGTTGTACATAATCCGATGAACGTTGTGTAGAGAACATCTATGGTACTTCCTTTTTCCTTTTTTTTTTTTTTTTATCGGCAGGGCAATGACTAAAGGCGACGTCTGACGTCGCGGCATCGAATCGCGAGCCGCGACCCCTGTATACGATACCGCGTAGGTAAAGTAGGTACCTGTTTAATAGACTAAACAAAAAAAAAATAACTACAAAGTAACGGTAGCAGAGGTCTAATTAATTACTAGCTATATACCGATACGATGTTGTAATGATTACAGATCGGCAGGTACATGAATAATCTTGTCGATCGAACGACAAGATCGTTCGTGATCCAGACCTGTAACATAGTATAAGAGGATGACAATATTTCGACAGCCGCTACGTTGTCGTCGGCTCGCATGGTCGCTCTTGTGTGTATATATATATATGTGTGTGTGTGTATGTGTGTGTGTGTGTGTGTGACTGTGTAGAGAATCTTTAACTTTTATATTCTCTATTTGTATCTTTTATTAAAAATTTATTGCAGAAAATTAATTGGATAATTCAGTGAAGTTATTGTTTAATCGATTAAACATTTGAAAATGTTCAAATAATTTTTATTTATTTAATTTTTGATTTTTGATTTTTGATTTTTTTTTCTTTTTTTTTTTTTTTTTCGTTATGCACACTTGAGTGACCCGCGCTCGTGCAAATGCATTGCCCTGACCGAAGATCAGTGTACGTAAGCGTTATATATATTGTATGTACACGTACGCATACATACGATTGCGCATATACATACACATGCACACAAACCGAACATATACATACTCACAACACGTATTATACACGCTACAGGTGCGCGCGTTTACGCACAAGAAGCTACAGAAATGGTGCTTCGTACAAGTATATACCTACATACATACGTACCGGGTACAATGCACTCGTTCGAATGATTGCGCGCGATGCGAGAGAAGATAAAGAAGTAAAAATAAAACTAGATTTATGTTGGTGCGCCTACAAGCCGAAAAAAACGTAGGCCGCACTACCTTACCGATCGATAAGTGAAATAAAGAAAGAAATATATATATATATATATATATATACATACACACATATATATATATATATATGAATTTAAATATATACAAATTATATATATATATATATATTTAAATATAAATATGAATATAAATATAAATATAAATACGAATATAAATACGATATTATTATTACGACTACGGTAAACGTATATAATTATTTTGTAGTGTTCCGCATTATGTAAACTAAATGTACACATACAAAGTATGAAAGCGTTGTGATGATTATGATTATGATTATGATGATGATGATGATGATGATGATGGTGATGATGATGATGATGATGCTGATGATAATGATGATGATGCTGATGATGATGTTGATGATGATGATGATAATGATGATGATGACGACGATTATAATTATGATTATGATGATGAAATGATGATTGCGATGATATACCATATGCACGCGAGTGAATTATGTATTATGATGAATGACTAAGACGTCGATGGATAATGGTAATAGTATTATACGCTATCGTGTCGACAAGTCTAAACCGTATTGTATTATATTACATAAGAGTCTGTCCATATTAATAATATTAATATTAATAATAATAATAATAATAATAATAATAATAATAATAATAATAATAATAATAATAATAATAATAATATTAATAATAACAATAATAATAATATTAATATTAATAATGATAATTATATTAATTATATAATAGCTGTGTTTGAAAACGAAAAATAAATTGTGGTTGAATATGAAAAGAACGAAGTAGTTTAGAACAAAAAACGTGAAGGAAACGTTTAAGAAGGAAAAGAAGAAAACGTAGAACGTGAAAATCCATAGGATTAAACGTGAGACTTATGAGTTTTCCTTTTCGTACATTTTGTAAGTTCACGAAAAGTCTTTTTCGTGTCAGAGATCTGAGTTGGATGTCCTTTCTTTTATATTTCTATCTTCTTTTCTCTTTTCTTTCTCTTCGAAGACATTTCTCTTTTCTTTTGTACTATAAACACCTGAGAGAGGATGGAACAAAAGGATAGATCCGTGTTTTGAAATAGGAATAGTGAAAGGTGCGATGATAGCACGTGACTCGTCGATTTCGCGAATGCTCCCTTCGTCCTTAGTCGATTTAGTTAGTTTCAATGGAAATAGTCGAATGGATACGCCACTGGGACGTTCTCGAAAGGTGCCTTGTACCCCGGAGGTTGCATTTATACGAATTGCGGCGGAAGGAACCATTGTATAATCCAAGATGGCCTCCACGTCGGAGAGGATTATTATTGGCTAATACGAGGCAAGAGGCTCCGCCTTGGTTCACGGCTCGTGACGGGATGATTTATTGGGATTTCTGTCTGTTCGCCCCTGCGCTGCAACGAACGCGCGTTACCTAGGCTTTCCTAGACGGTAGGTAGGTATCTCTCTGTAGAACTACGATATCGACTCTAGAAACGAGTCCAAGGATGTCTTCGTTCTTACGTCGATTTAACTTCTTTATGCCTCTGTTGGATACCACGTCTATCCTTTCGACGATGCTTTTAGAAAATCCATTTTACAGATCTATTCGTTTCAATTCACTTAGAGATATTAATTCTATGGACGAGATAATTCCCCCCCCTCCCCCCCTCTAGCCCCCGCCCCGCCCCGCCCCTGTGTGAATTATCGCCCTGGAGTATCGTTCAGATACGTTCGACAAAAAAATATCTCGTTAATTCGATTTCGTATTCGATGATGCGTTCGATAATGTTTCGTCGCTTTCGATCTCTCATCCACTTGGCAAGGACATCGCTTAACTCCGCACGTGCTGACGTCAATGAGCGAGAGAACAACGGAGAATTGGTATGTAACATCAATTGCGACGATTAAGCGTCGGCTAAGTGGTATGGACTTGATATGGACTTTAATCGGTAGACGAAGCGTGACTTTGATTCTCCGAAGATTGGAGAAGAAGGAGAAGAAGGAAAAGAAGAAATAAGAGAATAAGAGATGTGGGTTAGGCGTTTCAGGGCCAAGAAGATATCTCGGAGGTAAGATTATGTCTTATTATGCACGCATACTTGTTTTAAATCGAGCTAACGTACGCTGACCTTTGCCAATTTCGTTGTTGCAGGTGTATACAAGTTGAAGATAGGTTTGAGGAAGGGTGAGACAAGGACGGACGACAAAGGGAGAATGCTGGAGATAGTGAGAGTGAGCGAGAAAGGGAACTGGGAAGATAGAAGGGCTGGAAGGAGGATGGCGGTCAGAATTTATGGGCGCTTTATCACTTTACCGGCCTTGCCGCGTCTCCTTTAGCTGTGAGGAGGGCAGGATCTCACGATGAACTTTGGCACTCGACTCGGTCTACACTCGACGAACGGTAAGCTCGCTAACTTTCCTGTTTACTCGTATTTCGCAAGAGATTACGAGTACACCTGTTTTCTCCTTCGAACCCAAATACCATACCCCTTCCACCTTCTTCGCGAAACTTGGCTACCTAATGTGTTGATAGATGCATTCAGAAAGAGAAAATCCATTGAGCTTTTGGTTATTTTGTCCGATCGAAATTATTTCAACAATTAAACTTGTATTATATATTAAACTTGATTGTAATTATTCGACAAAAAATTTTTCTATGAAATCCGCGAAACGTTCTAAAAGAAAAATGAAAAAAAAAAAAAAGAAAAAAAAAGAAAATGAACAGTCCATGTACCATATATCATATAACTCAATTCGTCAGTACATTAAAAAGAAAAAAAAAAAGAAAAAGGAACAATAATCCATTAGAGGAATATTTTCGATTATGAAAGGTTGCCCTCATAAAACGATCGACACGCGTTTGTTAGTATGACGCTTGAAAAAGGGATTCCAATGTACAAGAAAGTTGACTCGTAAAATCACCGTTGTGTTACCTGGTTCCCGTGAGGACGAATAGGACGACTACAAGGTAGACCGCACACGCCATAGCGCATAAAGCAGCAACCCCCCCATTAACAGACCATAAATTCCATCCCCGGCTCGCGTTATGCCGCCCCGGCCACCGATGTTATGTATGAGCGTCGTTAGTGTTAATAGAGTGTTAACTGCTTCTATACCGCTCTCGATTCTGTCCAGGACATAGGTGACGCCGTCGTTTGCAAAGTGGGGGAGGAGAGATCAAGAGTGAAAGAGAGAGAGAGAGAGACAGTGAGAGAGAGAGAGAGAGAGTGAGAGAATGAGAAAGAGAGAGAAAGAAAGAAAGAGAGAGAGAGAGAGAGAGAGAGAGAGAGAGAAAGAGAGATAGAGGAGAGAAAGTATGGGAGAGGGGGAAAGAGAGTGTAGGAAGCACACCGATCGCCAGGATTCACGTTTGCGTGCTGTCGGTCTACTGTTAGCGCCGTGCTTCTGCTGTTTTGCATAGAGAATGCATCAATTTTCGGCGCTTCCCACTCACTGATCTCACCCTTTATACCTTCACTCTCCAACCCCATCCCTACTACTATTACTCTCTCTCTCTCTCTCTCTCCCTCTCTCTCTCTCTCTCTCTTTCTATCTCTCTCATTCTCTCTTTCTCTTTCCATCTCGTTTGCTCTTACCACCTCTCTCCAGTCCCTTCCACCCTACCCAATTTAACCCACACGTAGTACCACAATCCCACCTACGTGCTTTCCTTCCGCGTAATGCACTTCGTATCGAGGGTAATTGATACCATGTACCGTTCGTTTGCCTCTATATGCGACACGCAAGCGCGTCGACCCTAAACAGAGTCTGTTCAACCGAGACGCTTCCGTCGCATTCGTTTCTCTCTTCGAATGGATCAGCCTCAATGACTTTTACCCTCTTATTTTTTCCTCAATTTTATGCTCGACCAATATTATCAATGACAAGTACTTACTTAGATATTGAGCATGTTAAGAGAGTGTAGTATTGTATTGACGTAATAATTTTCTTCTTTTTTTTCTCTCTCTCTCTCTCTCTCTCCTTTTTTTTTTGTTTTTCATTTACTTATATATTTAGTATTTTTTTTCTTTTTTTTTTTTTTTAGATCTGTCGTGAATAAAAATCTTTCATATAGAACGTAATAATATGAATATATGATTTTATGAGTAGACGCTGAATAATACGAGATGAAAGAAAAGAAAATATTTTTATTTTGTTTTTTTTTTTTTTTTGTTTTTTTTTTTTAGAGAAGTATAGATAGTATTTGAAGATCATATTTTTTTTTTTTTTATTTCTATTTCATTGAGTTTTCGACGAAAAAGAGATAGAAATAGAGATAGAGATAAGGATAGAGATAGAGATAAAGATAGAGAGAGAGAGAGAGGGAGAGAGAGAGAGAGAGGGAGAAAGAGAGATGGAGATAGAGACGATTGGAAATTTCGAGAGTCTAAGCTAAGTTCGTGAGAACGTTGTACTTTGGGTGGATCATTTCACATTGCCGTGGAGGTGGCCGTTGGATACATAACGTAGAACGGGACATAAATCAATAATATCGCTGCCGGCCTCTGCTTCCTCCACACCCTCCCCCGCCGCCCCCTTCCCCCCCTTGGAACACCCTCTCCGTTCCCGAGCAAAACCCTCGCCGTCACCGTCTCTCCTCCTGCGAACCGCCGAGCGACGCCAGCGTCTCTCTTGTAATCAATGTTCATATTCAAAACGTCACGAGCGTTGTAGCGAGCGTCGCCATGTGAAATTAATACCTACGTCTATTCGTTTCTATCCACGCGTTGCGAAATCGATTACAATTTAGATATTAAAAAGAAGAGATATATATATTTTTTTTATTTATCATTTATACGAGTAGGTTTAACGAAAGACAAAAATTATATTGAAAGTGTCGCAGTTTTTTTTTCTTTTCTTTTTTTTTTTTTAACAATGTCAATTAAATTCATCAAATCATAGTTAGAGAAAAAAAAATTTAATATTTAAATATTTGTTTAACACGAAATATTAAAGTACGACAATGTAACATATAAATAGGGAAGAAGAAAGGAAATAGGATCACCCTAAACCTCGACACAACTCTACCTATGGTATCGATGTGCAAAGGCTAAATGCAAAACCTTGTAAGGGGAGAGTTTCAGACTGTGAGAGGTTAACAAAACATCCTTGCAATTAGTCGGACGTCCCGATGACACACGCGGAGTATCCCGAGGGAGAGGCGACTTCGCCACGTACAGAGAGAATTTCGTTGCTTGTTGTCCCCACTCTATCCTTCTGTTATGTGTCAGCTCTCTTTCCAACCCCTCTTCGTTGTATCTCTCTTCCTCTCTCTCTCTCTCTCTCTCTCTCTCTCTCTTTCTCTCTCTTTCTTGCTCTCTCTCTCTCTCTCTTTCCTCTTTCATCCATGTCCTCCCGTAGGACTCAGAAACACAAACTTTTGTCGAACGACGTTGCCGTAGTTTTCCTGGGAAATACTAAATAATAAAAACTTATCGGATCTCTCTCTCTCTCTCTCTCTCTCTCTCTCTCTCTTTATTTGTTTGTATGAGTATTTCGTGAAATTAGAAAGCAACAGCGAGTATATAGAATGACAGAAATAGAAAGAGAGAGAGAGAGAGACAGACGAAGTTGTCGGTGAAATTGAAAAGTGGTCGAGAGGCGCGATTCTGGACGAATACCGGGCAGAGGGACGATAGGGTGGATGGAAACGAAGCGAGGGATCGAAACGAACGACGACGTAAAAAACTATCGTGCTACTCGGCTGACTGGAAGGGTATTGAGGGCTATGGGGGTGGGAAATGCAAACTGAAAAGTATTTGCAACGCGTACGTT